TCTTTTCTGTGGCTCCAAGGCTACAGGTTACTGTAGAACAGACGCTCCTCTCCCTGAAAGCCTCATGCTTTCTAACACACTCTCTCTCTCTGTGTCTTGTCAGTCACCCTGACCTTGTCCTTAAAACAGACACAGGGTTTATGTCTTATAATCATTAGATGGACATAGCCTCATACAGTACAGCGTTTTCACTTTTATCTATAAGTGAAGTTAGTATGAAAGGATGGCATTTGAAACATGGGTCTCTTGCTGTGTTTCTAGGTGACAAAGAAATGATACAACTGTCCAAAAGAGGACACAGTAATGACTCAGAGTGTTTTTAGACAGCCTGTGTCTCATTGCTTACTTTTAAAAGGTCTCTTTTTAGCCAGATGTAAGGTGGGAAAAAGTGCAAAATGACTTCACAACAGGCAATGGTTATGTATTCTATGACAGGCACACACACATACAGCACATATTTATACACATGCCCATTGAAATTTACTGTATGACCCCTCTTGGTCACAACTACAGTATATGCAGCAAACCTACAGTACAAGGCATTTTACTGTGTGTTTATCGCACATTCAAATACTCAGTTCTCTACATTAACGAGGTGACAATCAAGTTGAAGACATTTTTTTAAACTTACTTTAACAATTGCCATTGATTTCTTTTGTTACAGTACATCTATGGTAATTGACACAATTTTTAAAACAGATGTTACAATTTGGTCTAGTTCATTAAAGAAGCATTTTAAATTTTACTTTCTCAAATCACACAGCATTATTCACTCTTAGCACTCCCTCAGATAACTTTGAATATATATTTACACAATGAATAATATTTTGTCATGCTATTCATTAATTAACTTCAGTTTTGCAGACATACAGAGACTATCCACATTCAGACATCTGACAGAGTCAAAGCAGAAGTACATATGGCAGCAAACACATTGTACAAAGTGTTCATTCATGTCTTGGAAGAGGTATTACTTCAGGCGACCGCATAGGTCGCTGTATGGGTGCATTTTGCTTTAAAGTCACTTGAATAGAAATTATAAGAACTGTGGAGAAAACAGCCTTGAGTTAAGCTACAAATCAGCTAAATAACTGATATTTAATTGGAGATTGTATTTGAGTAAATGGTTAAATTAATGAGTTAATCAATATTAATTAAGTCAATTGTTAAAAATAGATCAGTTTATTAGTTCGCTGAAATTTTGCTTGAAGCTTTGGATTTGATCCTAAAATGTGGAGGCGTTTGGATGTTGCATTGCCCTAATGGTTATACTTATCTTCTTAAGCTACTGTTAATGCTCCTTTTTATTTTCCAGTAAAATATCAATCAGTAATTGTTTTATGAGCAGTCTCAAGACTCTGTAGCTCCTCAATCAAAGCTGAAAGGATGTGACAATTGCAGTTTATTAAACTTGTGGTGCCTCCCATCACAGATCTTTACTTTTTCTAATCTTCTGCCTTTGTCTTCACTCATTTTGCTTAATATAGTGTATACAGAAAGTAAAGGGGACAATTATCTAAAAATTAATAACAAATAAATTATTGTAAAATAATTTAATTGCTTGACAGAGCTCTTGAAAATAAGAAATATCACAAACTATCTACAGAAAGTGCAACAGCAAATAAAGTTATTAGTAAACTGAGGATCATTCTTTTACACCATATTTTATTTGCTCCCTCTGTTTCCTGGAGCGTTGACCCTAGAAACCCAAAAAGGAAAGTCCTGTCCTAATTAATTAATTAAACACAACTGTCAGATGTGACTGATAGTAGAAAATGAGGGGGAGAGTGTTAAGGTAGAATGTTATTTAGCCATAGTGACCTCTGGTCTCAGAAGTCACTATAAAGCAGAAACCTGACACTGTCACAATATCTGCTTTCAATTTTGTGTATAATGTTGAAAATTTCTCTTTGGTACATGTCATGAAAGTGTTTTCAGGCTTCAAATGTTAGAATTTCCTAAACAGCTTTTATTCCACCCAGGCACAAATAAGCAAGGCTTCACTGACACTAAAGACCCTGATAAACTAAGAGTTGTTTTATGGTCTACTTGGGTTGGTTTCCGGGACAGTTATTGCTTAAAAGAAAATCTGCAGCCCCCTGAAAGATAACTAAATAGTTATTATATTCCTGATATTCAAAAGGACACATGCACCCTCTCACACACAAGTAAAACACACACACCTGTAACCTGTGGTTTCACCTGACCTGACACATTTCAAAGAAGCATTCATGACCTTGTCTGAGATTTAAAAAAAGAATGTGCTAATACATGGCAATTATTCAGTAAAGCAATCTCCATCCTATTCAACCATTAGTTCAGAGACAAATATCCATAAAGGGAAACAACTATACCTAAAAAAAATCTGCTTCAACTGAAGTGGGACTCCTAACATTAACATCGTCACAAAATGTTTTATGGCTCCAAAGAGAATCTGTTTTACTGAACCTGCAAAGTGTTATTTAAAACCTACCAAATAACTGGCCATATCGTCATTATTTATAAAAGAACACACATGTGGCACGTTAAATAAAAAGAGACTAGTAGCTTTAAAGAATGATCACTGAGAAAACTGTCTAGATGAATTTAAACCTGGTTTGTTTTTAAAAGAGCAGTTACACTCCATTATACAGTTAAATACACAGTCAAGGTGTAAAAACCTGGGTGTTGTTTCTGATAAAGGGTGAAAAGGGGAGTAGAGAGGTCATGGTTGTGTGTGTCGGGGGGCTTTTCTATCTTTGTGAGGAACATCTGTCTTAAAAACTGCAGTTATTAGGAATGATAAAGACCCTCTGTTGCCAGTTTAATAGGTACACCTAGCTAGGTCTGGGTCTATTTCAACTGATATAAATTGATTAGATAAAATATTCTAAACATGTCTTGTGATACTGTTTAACACAAACTACAGCCACTGAAAAGACTGTAAAGTCGAATCAACACTTTTCTGGAACAGTTGCAACAAAAGCTGACCGTTACACCCTTCATCAGTGTAGTTAGTCAGTTTAGCCAGGTGTACCTAATAAACTGCCAACTGGGCATATTCCTCATGTGGCTGGCTTTAAAAATAAAATTCACCCAACAAGAGACATTTCATTGATACAGGACAGTAAATCGATAGTTAAAGGCAAACAACAGCTTCTCTGCCTCAGAGCTGAAAACAAACCATCCAGACTTTCAGGCTGACATTTTTAGAGGTAGAGCAGTGACAGTGAAATATGGACTGGCTGTTCTGTTTCTGCTTGGGATGTTACATTCAAATGAGGTTTAAATGAATGTATGGCTTCCAGCTGTGAATCAGAAAGTGTCCACATATCTCAGTGAAATTACCTTGGCTGCTAGCAGCTGTCACAGTGCTGTGTCAGTATTTCATTGTTCATTGTTGGTGGAGTAGCTCCATGTCCAGATAGCATTAGCAGAGTCTGCTTCGCTGCATTGGCCAAATTAATTTAAAGTGAGCTTTTCAATAGTATCAAATTCTCATAAGTGCATACTGTTACAGGAAAGACTTCGCCTATTGTATCTGCCAATAAATTCTAAGGGCACTAACTCACTGTCAGTGTTGGGTGATTGCCTGAGGAAATTAAGTCATGGCTTTTACTTAACTATCTGAATCTCAATGAGAGTAAAACTTAATGTGTGGTTTTTAAAGGCGCAAACGTGGTGGGGACCCTTATCCTTAATCTTGGCCCAAAATGCTAAATCGCAGGTAAAAAAAAAATCTTGATATGCTTTTTGCCCAATAAACTAGCTCTGTGGTTAAAACCTGCGTTTTTCAGCTTCAACAGCTTTCAAAAGTTAAACCATTTTTTCTTTCATGCCTTTATCAGTTCGAGGATTGACTATTGTAAAACACTGTACGCTGTCATTAGTAAGTTGTCCCTCTCCCGACCTTAACTTGTCCAGAAGGCCAGGGCTCGTCTATCAAACACAAGGAAATCTGACCACATAACCTCCGCTCTGGCTTCCTGTCCAGTACAGAATAAATTTTAAATTATTATGATTTGAACGGTCTAGCGCCATCCTACCTGATTAATCTTCATGTGCCAGGAAGATCTCTCTGGTCTGCCAGTCAGCTGTTGATGAACATGTCCAGATTCAGGCTTAAGCTCAAGGTTGATCATACCTTACCATATGAAGCTTGTGGAACAGCCTTCCACTGGAGATTCTGTCTGCCCAGAACCTGGCACTTTTTAAATCATGTTGGAAAACTCATTTGTTCTCTATGGTTTTTCACACTAACTAAGGTTGGATGGGTGACTTGGGTTTTATTGAGTGTGTTTCTAATTTTGTGAACTGTTCTATAAGACATTTTATGTGTATTATTGTACTGTATGATAGGTTAATTTTAATGTCTGTTGTGCTCTCTGATGTCTGCATGTGTTATGTTGTATTTTAGTTATGCCTTGTGCCTTGTGTGATTGTTAATCACTTTGTGATTCTTCCTTTTTTTTAAGTGCTATATAAATAAAATTGCTATTGCTAAGTTTCTTCTTTACTGGCATCTTTCTACCTCAGAGAGCCAAAAGCAGTCCGCTAGTTCTCACTGGGCCATGAACAAGGTGATGCTAGTTGAGCTCAGATAGGGCGTTGGTCAACTGATTGAGATGGTTTATGTAGTTAACTACTGATGGCGAGGTTAAAATGAAAATGAAGCCCCAGGTCAGTATGATAATGATAGTTAAGGTGGCTGAGGTTAGGGTTATTTCCTGGACAAGGGGTCAGAGTTAGAATTGGGTTAGTTTTTATTTTAATTTCATTGTTTTGGCTTTGGGAAATAAAGATTTCAGTATATTCCAGTCCTCACAAAGACAGAAGAAGGTGTAAGTCTATGTCTATCCATGTGTACATGTGCTGTTCCCTTGACTTTGTGTGTGTGTTTGTGGAGAATAGTATGTGTAGCTGGTAGGAATCTTCAAGACTTGTTTCTTTAAGCACCGAAGTAGCTGATGATCAAAGCAGCCAAATCTTGGTGTCCTGTGGTCTAGAACTACAGTCATGTGACACAGGTGAGTCTGCCAGAACTGTGTACATCCTTTACTCATCTATGAACGCGATCCCTTCAATCCTGCAGAGTAAAACACACAAACCCAGAGTTACAACAACACAGAGCGCTGCCCTCAGTTTGTGATTGCATGTTGGAGTGACAATTGCAAAGCACACGAGAAGTGTGTAAGTAACCACAACATGCAGCGGGAATATTTTCATATTGCAAGGGTGAGGAAAAAGAGGGTGTGGCCTCGCCTTTGCAGCAGCCTCAGGACGAGAGTCCTTTTGATTGGAGTTGAGTGATTTCCACATGGTGGTTTTAGACATTTCATCAGATATATTAATGTCAGAGGGGTCACATCTGAGGAGCATGGAGAGGAGAAGGAGGGGAAG